GGGGGGGGGGAGTGGTGTCAAAGGGTTTAGGACGATGCTTCGCCTTCGAAACAAAATAAACACTCCGATCTTTAATGAAGTTACGCAACCTATTGGTAGCGTTGTATAAAACTTAGAAAGCATATAGGAAAATCTAAGCCATCATTAGGGCAAATAGCGAAATTAACTAATAAATCCTTCAGGATCAAGAATCTCTTTTAATTACTATAACATATCTATCTTTAGACCCTATGGGATGGTTTTTCACTACCTTCACGTCTAAGAAGAGTCTTAATATCAGAATTCAAAGCTTTAGCAGCACTTCGAATAGAAGGGTATATCTCTTCTTTATTAGAAAGAAGATCTTTAACAACTACTTCAAAAGATTTTTTAGATGTATTTCCCATCATAGCATTACTAATTTTGCTTTTTGCTTCATCAGTATGAGTTTTACCATAAAATGGATTATTAACTCCTTGACGAGATGCACTCATAAGAGCTTTAGTTTCTTCCGTATGAGTTTGACCTTTTTTAGATTCACTCATACGAACTTTGGTTTCTGGTGTATGTGTAACACCCAATGTATTTCCAGCAAATTTAGCCAGATTATATTCAAATATGTCCATATCCAAATATTTTTGTTCTACATTTAGAACCAAATCAGGTTCAACAATATCCAAAATATAAAGCTCAAAATTAGTAATTCCGGAAGCATTCATAGCTCTAATAATGAATCTATTTTTATTAGATTCCAAATAAGAAGGTTGGAAATAATCATTTATTCTATTCTAAAGATTCACACTACTACCAACATAAGCTTTACCATTAGTTTTATTAAACCAACAATAAATACCAGCTTTACCAAACTAAGAATTTCTAAAAGAAAAACGTTGATTAATAGGATCATCAAATTTGTACTAATATTTAAGTTCTCTATCTTTTATAGTAATGATACCCATACACATACACATTGTAATATCAGTAACCAAAGAATTCGAAATATTGATAGTAATTATAAGAATCTAAATTATTAGCTAAATTACTCAATTTTTCAATTGAGACTAGACTATACCTTCAACTCCGACATGAAAAGAATAAGCTATGGCAAATTATGTCTTATTGATGTTGTCAAATCATGTCCCAAAAATGGAGAGCTGGCGTATTACAAGTGGTATTTCAACCACAAGTCTGAACAAAATTCAAGTCGTTACAGGGCAAAATAAAAGGTGAGATGTGAAACATCAAATTGATTTCATCTCTATCCATTTGGATGGTACAATTTATTAAGCTTCCCACGAGATTGCCATGAGACAAAGTGAGTGACTGAAAGCACTTTGACTTTTAGGTTTCCCCGTTAGCCAAAGATGTTAAATTAAATGGCTTAACCTTCGCCAATTTTAACTCTTTGACCCCTTCTAAGAAGGATGAGCCAGTATTAGGAATTATGGAGCATTAATTCCAAGGGCCTATTTGAATAATTGACCCTAAGCTTCTGTCTAGGCAAATCCTAGAATGGCTACGTTAAATAGTTCTTTTCTAAGAGAAGGGTTACGACTAGTACCAGTAATCTAAGATCCAAAGATTACTCCTACTCCAATTGCAGCTCCTGCTAGAGCGATTGTAGCCAATCCGGCACCGATTAGTTTAGCGGCCATCAACATAAGAAATTAAATTGAATGAACGAGTAACATAAATGTTGCTCGTCAATTTTAATTTGTTCTTGTTCCATATCGATTTATGGACCAATTTTGCTGATTTTTGTTCAGCAATCTTAAATTTACAGCATTTAGCGTTATAAGCACATTTTAAATACTTTAGCCTTTACATGTCCTTCGAGACGTGACGCTTTTATCATAGCAAACCACATCTGTTTTTCAATTGACGACGAAGGTATACGTGTTAACAACACGACCTAATCGCAAGGCGAGTGAGGGTGGAAGGCAAAGACTGCTTAAATCCCAATCGCAATCCAAAAGGAAGAAGGTGACATTTGAATGCAGATGATAGGAATTGAACCTATAACCAACTGGTTAAAAGCCAGCTGCTCTACCATTGAGCTACATCTTAAAGCTTGACTGGCATCGTCATTAACGAAGTCCAGTGGATAGAGGCCACGAAAATGGCCGGTCCCATTGGGATCGTAGTGGGAATGATGGGATTCGAACCCACATCGTCCAACTCGACAAGTTGGTGTTTTACCTTTAAACTACATTCAAGTTTTATGAGAATCATCCTAGAATCATAATAATTAGGAAATAACCAAAATAGATTACTGTCGATATTTGAGCCTAACTTACAAATGGTTCAGTTGCAGGTTTAGCTCCAAGCCATAGCAAGAAAAGGAAGTTAAAGACAAAGATCCAGAACAATACATTTAGAATTGGTCTATATTTATGTCCACGCAAACTTAGAGTAGCAAAGAAAGGCAAAGGAACCATAATCTAAATAGCAGCAAACATTGCCTAAACACCCTACAGTTTATTTGGTATAGCACGTAGAATAGCATAAAAAGGTAGGAAATAGAATTCAGGTACTATATGTCTTGGTGTTACCTATGGATTAGCAGGAATAGAATTATCAGCATGTCCTAGATAATTAGGATAAAAGAATACAAATATACTCTATAGTATTGCCATCCAAAAGAAACCAATCAAATCTTTAGATGTAAAATATGGATGAAATCTTATTTTATCTGTACCACTCGATAGTCCTTCCGGATTATTAGATGCATCCACATGCTAGGCTAGCAAATGCATACATACCAAAGCAGCAAGAATAAAAGGTAGAAGATAATGTAGACTAAAAAATCTATTCTATGTCGCATTATCTACACTAAATCCACCCCAAATAAAACCAACAAGGTCATTACCGATCCAAGGAATAGCAGAGAAAAGATTTGTAATTACAGTAGCCTTATAATCTAACTTAATTTCATATCTTGGAAATTGTTAGATATCGACTGTACATTAAATAGAATTTACCCATTAGGAAATTTTCTATTCATTAGTGATCCAGTCTGTAGCAATTTATAAAGTTAAATGCGAAGTTATAAATTGACGGTCTAATCTGAAACATACGATAGGACACTAGCTTTGCCATTATGTTCTTTGTTTCATTTGTTAACCGTTTTACACTAATTTTTTACCTAAAATGTGAATCATCCCACCTATAAAGATTCAAGTATTTAGGACTATATATATGTATAAATTTTATTTTATCACCCTGTAAATTTAAGTTCTAATGTCCATTCTATTTATATATCATCGATGGAATAATATAGGGTTTAACCTAATTAGCTAGAATAGGCATAGAAGAAGAGTTAACATAAATGTGAAACCTTATATTGATTTTCAGCACCAGCAGAATTAACAGTAGCAATAATACCATATTTAGATTGTAGTAGATCACACAATAGTTGACATTCATCTTTAGGGCACGACAGTGACCTGTCGTAAAACAATTAGGAAACGAAATGAACTGGAGTTTCCTTTCGTACAAAATTTCATACCATAAGAAACAGCTGCTCCATCACACATAATCCAAACACCATTAACATAAAATACATCTACAATCCAATTAAAACTAGTATAAGTCCAAGTTTTGACTCTAAAATAATATCTTACTCTCCCTTCTGGAGTAGTTCGAGTAAGCTATTTAGGAAATTGAGGATTACAATATCCTCTACTAGCAAGAAATTCATGAGACCAACTCAGAAATTCTCTATGAGAACTCTCTTGATGCTAATCAAATCGACTTCCATCCCCATGTCTTTCACCAGAACCATCGCCCAACATAGAACCAAAAAGGAAACTCAATACATCGATATCATGTGGTCCTATTCTATTCTAAGCTCGAGTTATAGCTTTATTAAAAGGAAGGACAGGTTCAACTTTCAAAGGAACAGAAGACAATATACATATATATAGAGGGGCACTATCACCCCATAGACTCATCTGACCCCATGGCTATACATATCCAATAAATGCTGTTGCCATCATAATCAGAAAAATAGCAGCACCTACAAGCCATAGAAGAGCACGTGGATGACGGTAAGAACCATAATAAAGACCACGACCAATATGAAGATAAACGAAGATAAAAAAAAAAGATGCTCCATTTGCATGCATATATCTTATCTACCATCCATTATTAACATCACGAACAATATGTTCAACAGAATTAAAAGCCAAAGCAACATTTGCATTATAATGCATAGCCTACAAAACACCTGTAATAATCATAAGAACAAGATTAAGACCTAGCTAAGATCCAAAATTCCAAAAATAACTCTAATTACTTGGTGCTGGACTATCAATTAGAAATTCATTAACTAGAGCCTAAATAGGATTTCTTTTAGTAATTTTCATTCTCTTTCATTTCATTATAACAACACTCCCGGTGCTTCGCCTCACTTTACATTTGAAATCGATGTCAAGCCTCAAGTGTTGTCTTGAACCCTTTAAGGGTTGCTGGGTATGTTTGTCAAAACCCATAAGACTCAAACTGGCCGGTTTAAACGTGCCGAAGTGACATAGTCAACCCCTCTTCCCAAAGGGTTCGTGAAGGGAAACGGTGGTCACTTAACGAAGGACACGACAGTGGTCTGTCGTCCAAACCCAAAGGGATGCGAAGCCTTGTCAACCTGGAGAATAATCGCAATGCGAAGCAATATACGATTTAAGCCTTAGGCCATATCTTTAATAGTAATAATAGTAATAAAAGTAAATATATAACTTTGTAGATAAGCTATTAGCTATTCCTATGCCTAAAATAGAGTCAATAGCAACAATGGCAAAGCCAATACAAGAAGAGAGGTACCTTTTAGATAAGCAACCCAAATAAAACTGATTATTACTTTTGTCTAAACATGACCTGTTATTAGATTAATTGCCTATCGAAGACCAAGAGAAAGAATACGAATAAGATAAGCCTAAATTTCTAGTACTATCATTATTGGTACCTATGCCAAAGGAGTACCAGCAGGAATGAAAGCAGCCAAAAGAAGAACTTTATGTGTCTAAAATCCTATCTATAGTACTCCTCCCTAAAGTGTGAAAGACATAGTCAAAGTCATTACAATTTCTACTGTAGGTGTAGAACTATAAGGAACCATACCAAGCAAATTACTAAAAAGAATCAAATGAAATATTGTATACATCTATGGAAAATATACTGCACATTCTTTACGAATATGATTTTCTACCATAGATAGTATTGTTCTATACTAAGATTCATTCTATATCCCCCACCATGTTGCAACAATTTCACCTTTACCAGGAGCAGCAATAAAAAGAGAAACCAAACAAGCCATAATAAGATAAAATATTACATTACTTATTGTTATATTCTATGTCTACTATGGATAAATTTCATATTGTTCCATTGGAGAACAATACTAATACGAAGTCTAAATCATCATACCATTTCTTTATCGCCCAATACCAATGGCATTTACTTACATTATACAAAGACCTAAGCCTTATGTCAATGACAGTATAATAGTAATGGCAAAGCCATTGTAATTATTGTGCGTTTCCCTCTTAGATTCCACTTTGTTTCACATCACACTCTCTAAATGCTTGGTGCTATGCTTAACGGTAGACCACAATTTATGTGTCCTACATTTGAGGAGGAGGGACTCGAACCCACAATCCTGGCTTCAAAGACCAGAGCCTTACCATTTGGCTACTCCTCTAGACCAATTAAGTTAGAGTCGTTCCCAAAGGAACTTGGTCTCAACCCTCTTTATCAAAATATGCATTTTTTAAGTTTTAACTTAAATCTTTAGGGAAATGGCGAAGCCACCAAGCCATTAAATGTCAACCTTAAATTAAGCCCGGTCCTTCGGTTCGGGTTCGGATTTGATCTCATTAAGATCCACCCCAGTAATATACAATTATGTACTATATTATCCATACTATGTCCACCTAATGCCAGTAATATATAGCAAATTCCAAACCCAGATGATGTTCAGAAGTAATATTATCAAAATAAATACGTAGCATACTTACAAACTAAAACTATGTACCACCTATTACATGAAGTCCATGCAATCCAGTCAGTAGGAAGAAAGTAGTACCATAAACGGAATCAGCAATAGTATATTCAGAATAAATATATTCGGTATATTGAATTGTAAGGAAAACAACACCCAAAAGAACAGTAAAGAAGAAACCTATAATAGCAGAATCTTTATCACCTTTAATTATTGCATGATGACCCCAAGTTAGAATAAATCCAGATGCCTATAGTACACATGTACCTACCTATGGCAAATTCCATGGATTAACGCTATTAACACCAACAGGAGGCCAAGTACATCCCTATTCTACAGATGGTGCCTAACTAGCATGAAAGTATCCCCAGAAGAAGCTAACAAATAGCATAATTTCAGAGACAAGGAATAGCAAGAATCCAATCAATAGACCTCTTTGTACTGTTGTAGTATGAAAACCTCCTTTTGCTTCACGAACAACATCTCTCCACCAAAGAAAAGTGACAAGAGAGATAGCAGGAATAAACAATCCACTTGTAGACCATCCACCCTACCAAGAGACAATTTCAATGGCTGCAGTCTAAACAGAAAAAGACATAAGTATAGGCCATGGAGAAACTTCAACCAAATGAAATGGATGAGCTTGTTTAGCATTCAAATTTATTAGCATTTTCATGGCTTCGCTCTTTTTTAGGCTCGCTACCCTTACGGGTTATTTAAGGCCAAAGGCCCCAATTTCTCATGAGCACGACCGTATGGAAAGACATGGTTCGCCATGGCTTACTATACATGGTTCGCCATGGCTTACCATAAACCATAGGATCAAGGAGACCTATAAAGGATCCTTGTGATTAAGATTGTGAATTGCGGAGCACCGAAACATCTTTATTACACACCCAAATCGATTTCACCTTTAGTCGACAAGCCTCCTTGTCGACCAGGCCCGGAGGGGCGAACCTGTTCGACTACCCTTGGTGGGATTTGAACCCACATGCATTAAGCGATAGATTTAGAGTCTATTGAGTCTACCATTCCTCCACAAGGGGGTGAATGAGTCGGCCCTGGTAGAGGCAAAAGGCCCACTCCAAGGGTCTCTCATAACAGCATGGTCGACAGACTATGTCCATCGACGATGCGAAGCTCGTGATCACCGGAAGGGACTTGAACCCTTAATTTTAGATTATGAGCCTAATGTGTTACCTTTACACTACCGGTATAGAT